ATCCTGGAGGTTGGTGTAGAGTAATTCCATACACTTAATGCCTAGACATTCTAGTTAGGAGCAAGCAAGTGACGATCAGAGATGGCCACAAGGTAACTGTGGTACTGAAGTGCTTCCATTAAGAACATTTCTACACACACGACCACGCACTTAGAATGGTTTAATAGTAACTCCGCACGAGAGTGCCTGCTCTAGAACCTCAGATCTGGTCAAGGAAATGAAGCAGCAGAAAGAGAAGGAACCTGGGAATCTGAAGATTCAGCGCCCGCAGATCTAGACATGCAGTATAACTGGGCCTTCTTAATTTCCTCACGAGTAAAAGAACTGAGTTGGACCTGAACCTGATAGTTTTTAAGATTTTAATCAGTAAGTCTACTTTGAGAAAAATGCATATGAATAATTGTTAACTACTATTTACAATTCACGAACTAATTTTAGGAACCAAAATGATGAGACTGGAGGTGGAGGGATGTTTAAACTCGCAGGTGCTGAGACTGCCCAAGGGCAGAGCTCTGATTCTCTTGTGCTCCCCAGGTACGTGGGCTGATCAGTGAGTCCAGGATGGAAGAGCTGGGGGTCAGAGACACTCCTCTGGGCCCACATTCATCATGGCTCACAGCTACCTGTGTTCCAGGGACTGGAGGTGACACAAGGCCCGACCTGGACTCTCCTCTGATTTAGTTGTCTCTGATGCTAAGTTGGGGACCTAAAAACCAAAAGGCTTTATGAATCAGAAATGCGGCTGGGAAAGACATGTTTTCAGATACGTGAAAACACTGTAGAGTGGCTCATACCTGCTGTCATACATTCTTGAGGTGACTGACTCATCGCGACCCCACAGCACTGCTTAGAAACCCCTCATCAGAGTTCCTAGGCTTCAATCCTTACAGGAGTGGATCATCAGGACTTTTCTCTCAAAGAGCAGTGGGTGGGGGTTGAACCACCCACCTTTCTGTTAGTAGCCAAGCACTTACCACTGTGTCACTAGGACTCCCTTAGACAGAAGAGGATGTATTGTATTTTATTTAAAAACAACAACAACAAAACAACATAAAAAACAAAAAAAACAAAGGAGGGCCTCCCAGAGGTAAAGTTGCTTAAGGGGCAGAATATGTTATAATCAGGGAAGTTGTAGATTCTTTAATCTGAGAGATTTTTACAGAAGACAAAATAACCCCCCAAACCACCTTCTCATTCAAAGGCATGTTTGTTTTTTTAAGCAACCAATTTATAAAAGAGTAAAATATTAAAAGGCAATCACTACCCTTCAACTTGAGAAAACACCCTGACGATTTATTGCAGGCCACCTTTTCCTCCGAGAATTTCCTTAACTGATGATTTCAGAGTCCTTTTTTTTAAGGCTCTTATTTCAAAACAGCAGATATTATTAAAAACAAGGTTGAAATTATGGTAAGTGGGGGAAATGTGTAGATCAAGATCCAGACGGTTGAACATGACATACTTCCTTGTGATGTCTGTTAAAATAGATCTCAAATGTGAATCTATTCTAGAGACAGAGGTGGGGAAAGATATAGTCCAAAAATAAGACATACACAAAGAAGACAGAAGGAACAAACAGAGAAGGCCAATGAAAGTCACTCAAAGTCCTCTCTGGAACTATTTTTGGAGCTCTTGTCAAGGATTAAATAATAATAGAACTCAATGATTGTGCTTATGTGAAATCTATATTTGAACCAAGATGCAGTAGTCAGAACAGAGCAAGGAGACACTGTATGGTTCAAAATCGTATCTGCTGAGGATATATTCTGTCCCCACACCTTTTCAGTCTGTATGCAGAACAGATCATCCGGGACGCTGGGGAAGAATGTGGCTTCAGGATTGGAGGAAGATTCATCAACAACCAGCGTTATGCAGAGGACACAACCCTGCTTGCTGAAACTGAGGAGGACCTGAAGCACTTGCTGCAGCCTTCAATATGGACTGAAGCGCATTATCAGGAAAACAAAAATTCTCATGACTGGGCCAATTGTATCATTATGGATGGTGAAGAGATTGAGATTGTTAACAGTTTTAGTGTGCTTGGCTCCACAATCAACATTCGTGGTACAAGGAGCCAGGAAATCAAGAACTGCATTGGGAAGGTCAGCTGTCAGGGACCTCTCCAGTGTACTGAAGAGCAATGAGGTCAGGCTGGAGACTAAGGTGTGTCTGATCCAGGCCATATTATTCTCAATTGTGTGCTATGTGTCAGAGAGCTGGACAATGACTAGGGATGACAGAAGGAGAATTGATACCTTTGAGCTGTGGTGCTGGAGAAGAGGGCTGAATATACCACAGACTGCTAGGAGAACAAACAGGTTCATCCTGGAGAGGGTGAAACCAGGTTGCTCCTTGGAGGCAAGGATTCTGAAGATTCATCCGACATACTTAGGGCATGTTGCAAGGAGGGACCAGTCCTTGGAGTGGGATGTCATGCTTGGGAGGGTGGAGGAACAGCACAAAAGAGGAAGACCCTCAATGAGATGATCGATTCAGTAATTGGGGTAATGTGAGTAGATGTGTCAGAGACAGTGAGGTCGGCACAGGATAGAGCAGAGTTTGGCGTGCCTGTAAACAGGGTAACTGTGAGTTGCAAGTGATTCCACAGCACATAACAACAATGGTGGACAAGGTTGCTGCCATATGGAAAACACTAATCTGAGATTTAAAGCAATAAAGAGGGAGGGTGGGGAAAGAGGGAGGGAGGGAGAAGGAGGAAGGGAAGGATGGGGGAGAGAGAGAGAATGAGATAATGAGAATTGAGCATGTCTGTGACCTGATGGCATCTTGGGAACCTCTGGATCCAGTCACACCTGCAACCCTTTGATTTAGCTCCTCTCTCCCCAGTCGTCCGTGGCCTTTGCACTAAAGGACTCTTAAGTAGAATCAGTGTGAGGAAGATAGAGCAGAGTCAGTGAAATGGAGCAGCACACAGAGGATAAGAGGACCAAAACCAACTGGTCATTTAAAATAAGACCATTTCCAGTAAGTGCATTGAAGAGACCCTTCACTACAGCTGTAAAAATGCAATCTTGGTCAAAATTAGTGCTTCTCACCTGGGTTACGTACAGCCAACCTTGCCCCGCTACTCAAATGCAAGACATCTTAGTATGGCACAATTTCCAGTGGGTGAACAGTTCTACTCTAAATTGTTGGAGAGATATTCTAGCATAAGAATAATTTTCCAAGAACTTACTCTCACCCATTAAGTGAGTAACTTTCTATTTTAAGAAAACAAGGCATGCACTATACCAAAAAGCTACTGGGATGTGAATATGGACCAAGCCTCGCACCCCCTTTTCCTGGCAGCTTCCTTCCTGTTCAGTTGGTATTCATGAATGCTAGTCCAAAGGCAGTATTTTCTTCATTCCTTTCTTTTACACCTATTCTTCACTTATCAGCTACATCATTGTCTGACATTTTGCTTTTGTAACAGTAAAAAGCCAACATCTCCTATCTGGTTTTTTCATTCATGACATATGCCTGGCATTAATGAACAAGGTCAAGGAATCAGGTGGGAGTAACTCTGACTGTGACGGTATGGTTGTGTCAGCCTGGCTGAGCTGTGATTCTCCGTGGTCTGGCACAGAAAGATGTAATCTGGAGGTTATGGAATGACACAGTCATCTCTTTGTGATGTGATGTAGTCAACCTTCATTTTTTACATCATGACAGTTTTCAAATTAACAGCTTGGCTTTCAGAATCTAACTATGTCAGTAAGTGGGAAGTGAGTTTAGTTTCTTCCAGACTTAGAAACCCTTTTGCTACAATAATCATTTAGTTAACTTTTCAAGAGAATACTTAAAGATCAAACTCTTATTCCCTTTCTGGTGCCACATTCACATAGAGAAATTCAAGAGACTCATTATTAGAGAATCCCAGCTTTGTTCGAATTAGCAGCATCAGTGAGTATCCTTCCTGGGAACTCAAAGCACTGACAGGAGTGGGTCAGCTGGGCTTGTTAAGAGCAAAACCAGATAAGCTGGATGCTTGGTTTCTGCAGAGACGCCAGAAGCAGTGATTACCCTTCACTTGGGCTTCACCCTGATCTTCAGAACGCTGACAGTCACTTAAACCACTCACTGGGTGGAATAATCACACCGAGAGGAACAATGGAGAGGGTACAACTTATGTTATAAAATGGAATCAAGCACATGAGACAAAAGTATTACCAGGCGCAGTAGAAGAGGTCTCTGTCAGAATAACCGAGGTGACTGAAGACATGAATTAGACGCCAACCCTAAGAGTACTCCAGATGACATGAACAAAACAGCAAAATTGTACAGTTACAAAACTGAGCACAACTTGGAGAGCACCTTCTTTTGAAAACAGCTGGAGCCAGGTTGGCCTGTGTGAAGCCCTCAGTGGCTTGCTCTAGAGCTTAGGCTAGTCTTTTGCCTGTGGGGCCTTTTTAGAATAGACAAAACAGACATCTGGAAGGTGTTGCTATTGTCAGTGATACACTATCACTCTGTTTAATAATGCCCACTCTTCAATCCTTGTGGCATTAACACTGGATACTAAGGGCCTGCGGAGCATGAGGAGGCCTTTCAGTCATGACCTCTGGGCACACCCAGGCAGCCCTGCATTTCCAGGGGCCAAAGGAAATGATGATGTCAGCTGGGTGCCCAGCCAGGAATGGGGACCTAGTCTCTGTTTAAGAAGTGGGCACAAGAAAGACAAGATTGGTTATTGTCTGGTCTTGAGACACAGCTGTGTGATCTTACAGGACTCAGGTTTCTAAAGTTTACTATCAAGCTCTGTTAACATGGGTCTATTTCAGCATCCTGTGCCCCACAGAGAACCTGACACTTGATCTTCTTCCAGAATCACACGCCAGGCGAACAGCAGCGCTGGCAGACTTCCAACACGGATCTTCTGAGAGCGTGGAAACTCTCCTGCACCAGCCTGTGTGTGCCTTATGTTACACTGCAGATACCTTACATCATACTTCCTTTATTCTCCGTGGCCCCCAAGCACCGCCCTGCCAGGTACTCACTCTGTGACAAAGAGAGGTTGGAGAAAGCGGACTTGGTTCGGCCTGCCAACCACTCCAGGCTCTCGTGCATGTTGGCTAAGGCTTTCAGGTCGCTGACATCTCGCAGGATGTCCTGTGGGGGGATCAGTTTATCACCCAGGTTCCCAATAAGAACTTCAGATTCCTTGCCAAAGGCCGTCCTGAAAAACATACCAGAAACACACTTAGCATGCTGTATGGAGAAGGCATGGGTAGGAAACACCGTTATGTTGTAATCACAATGCGATAACATGCCTTCTCTTCAAGGCACCACTCGTATGGAAGGTGTACTGTGGCAGCTTGCAGGGGCATGGACGCTAGAAGCCATGCCAATGATCTTTTACAAAACTGCAAGGTCACCCACAGTGGGCAGGTCTTAGCAGGGTTTGGAGACGAAGGCTAGGAAGAAAGGCTTGGGAAAATCTGTCAGTGAAAACCTCGTGGATAAGTGGAGTCAGATCACGTATGAAGTTGTCACGAGTTAGAGTCAACTTGTTGGCCACTGAGAACAACAGCGACCTTTGCCCACCACGTGCCTGTTTATTCTTTGTTGTTGCTGTTGTGTACCATCAAGTAGGAACCGACCTGTAGTTGACTCTCCAGCAGGTTTTCAGAGGCAGCAAATGACATGAAGGGAGACTGCCCATCTTTCTTTCGTGGGGCAGGTAGTGGATTTCAACTGTGTGTCTTTGAGACGGCAGCACAGCTCTTTGCCACCAAGAGCTGGGGGTAGGGGACAGGAATAGTTTTGTTGGGGGAGGGAAGAACATTCTTCAAAAAGGAAAGAAGTGATTCCAATGGCCTGTACTAGTGATAAAGTCAGAGAGAGAGAAAGACGTCATGCTTGGTAAGACAGAGCGTCAGCGAGATGGGAAGACCTCGAGGAGAGGGACCGACCCCGTGGTGGCACCAGTGGGCTTGGACTCGGCGTGACTGCGAGGATGGCGCAGGACACTGTCTCGTTCTGCCTGGGGTCGCTGTGAGTCGCACTGACTCGACGGCATCTAACAACTACAGAGAGTAAAGCTCTGGGGGCGCCTCCTCGCCCGCTCTCGTCAGTGTTTGCCGGGCCTCTTCTGTTCTGAAGGCTGGTGAACAGCTTTTTTGGGTGGTAAATATGTACATAATTTGAAGTCTCTTGTCATAAATAAAACAACCGAGTTAATCTGGCAGTTAGCAATTGCTCAAAATATGCGAAAGCAGAAAAAGTGCCCAGTCTTTTTCTGAGAGCCGTCTGTGGTTGAGATGGACGGCTGCCTTCACTCACTCATTCATTCCTTCACTTGTTCTGAAGGGATCTCAGGTGCAAAGGGATGAAGTGCTGGGGTGTTCACCGCCTATAAAGGAACTTAAGAGAAAGACCGGTGCTAAGGACCCTTGGAAAGCATAACAGGGTTTTCGTCCAGAGCCCCGTGTCTTCATGATGGTTCCTCAGGTGGAAATGTCAAGTTCAGGACGGGGTTTAGAGTGGACAGAGTTGGAAGGGATGGCCAGGCATGCCTCTGAGACACCGCAGGTTTGGATCTAGCACTGTAACGTGAAGGAGGCCGTCGAGCGAGTCACTTCACAGCTCCCAGAGCACGTGAATGTTCTGCAGACCCCATGCTGTGATCTATTTCAGTGGGCGACAGCAATACGAAAAAGTCAGAAATGTGGGGAGAACCGGAGATTCCACGGGACAGGTTCCCTGTGTCTGACAGTTCACTCAACCACACCAGCTGGGTTTGGATTCTGGGAGACAGCCCTGGAGTGAGAGCTACAGGAGTTCTGATTCGACCACGAGGTGTCAGTAGAGAAGTCACTGCTGGTGCGCTGATGTCAGGGAGCTGCATGGTCTCCAGGCTTCAAGCTCCATCGCATGAGAGAAAAGGAAGCCCTGATGTGCTGAAGCCACTGCCCGCTCAAGCTCCTGTCACTCGCAGCTCGGCACAATTTCCCACTGACTCAGTGACCTAATGAACACAAATGATGTCATCCTCAGAAAACGAATGCAGATATTCTTGATCAAGTTACAAGGCAAAGCAGAACAATGGCTTTTCCGCAACTGGAGCCCAGGAGACAGCGAGGAGACCATCCTCTTGGCTGCCACTCCGCCGAGCTGTAAATATTTAGTTTTCTTAATCTGTCCTTAGATATCGGCTCTCCCAGCCCTTCATCGTCTTTGATGGATGTAACGTACAACGTGCCTCTGAGGTGGATGCCGGAAAAATCAACGGGGGAGGCGAGCAGCTTTGAAAACCAGGCTCGCAGCCATGTTCATGCACGCAGGTGTAACCCTGGGTGCAATGTGACAATCGAGACAAATGTATTTATGTAAAAGTCTCGTCTTGGAGCCAGGGGCTCTTCGGGTGCTGGGCATGTCTGCGGTGCGCTTCCAGGGCTGTGCGCCAAGCCCGCTCCCTCTGGCTGGCTGAGATTGGCTTCACTTCCTTGGAGGGGAGAGCAGTCGACTGCGAAGAATACAAACTGCTGCATGTTGAGTGCATAGTCGACGTCTCATTTGACAGGAATCCATAATCAGCACCTCACAACCAGCAGAGAGCAGGGAGACCATGGCGTGGAGAATCACTGACTGACAGCTCTAACCATTTCATGCCAAGCCAGCCCTTGTGGGGGGGCCCTGGTGACAGAGAGGAAGGCGGAAGGAGGTCTTTCAAGGGGTCAAGTATCCTAACTGGGGCTGGACGGCTTCGGCTGCTGGGCCACTGATTCTCCTAAACCCTCAGATTTATTAGATAAAGAGGGCATATCCACACTATGGAAAACACGGTCACTGTAAATAATACTCGATACCACAGAACAATGTTTGTGATAGCTTACTTTTAGCTAGTTATAAAGCTATACTCACCACATGACACTGAAAAGGAAAATAATTATGTATGTGTGAGTATATATGTGTATCTATATGCATACACACAGAGAGAGACACACAGACAACAGACAGACAGACAGACAGACAGAGAACACGCTCTAGAGCCCAGTGGTAAGGAACTGTGCTGGTAACCCAAAGGAATGCAGTTTGAATCCACCAGTTAGTTGCTTCATGGGAGAGAGATGGGCAATCTCCTCCCGTGTGGTTTACTGCCACTGAAAACCCACTGGAGAGTCAGCTAAGGGTTGGTTCCAATACAACCATACATAACAACAACAGAGACTAAAATGTTAGCTGTATGGCTCGATCAGCCTCTGTAGTTTCCTGCACTTGCTAACTGTCTTCAAAGAACTGCTTTACCTTTCAATTAAAAAAAATTAATTACAAAACCACTGTACACGAGAGAGTCTTTTAAGTGGCCACGTCAATACTGGAAGGATGCAAAGCTGGACGTGGGTCTTACTGCTGCCCCGCAGGGAGGCAGCGATGGTTGGTCTGATGACTGGTCCGGACTGCAGCTCTCAGCCACTGAAGGTGGGCAGGATCTCACTTCCCAAAGGAACACCACTCACCATCTGACCACTGCTGTGCCTGGGGTTGCTGCGGGGAGGAGCTGACCTGGTAACACCTAACAGAAACAACAGCAAAACAGGCTTTCTCGAGAAAGTAAAGTAACAGGAACATGGAAGTAGCAGAAATTAGAGCTCAGACTGCGTGTGTTTTGGGTACTCAGAGCTGTGGGGAGTCACTTGCCCAACCAGCAGGCCAACATGCCCACACAGAAGCCGATGCAACTGAACGAGAAGGGCAAACCTCTGAAGCGCAGTTTTACAGAATAATCTTGAAGGAGGTTTCTCTGACAAGAATTCATTTAAGGAAATGTTCATTTTCCCACACAATGTTTAAGGAGGTTCTGTGACATGAATTCATTTAAGAAAATTTGCCAAGAGTGTTGAACTTATTAAGCTGAATTTTACCACACAGTTATTAATCTTTGAAGAGCTCTCTCTGAAAAGAACTCATAGAAGAAAATTTTGCCAAAGACTCTAAATTGGGCCAAGTTTTTAAGCTATTCTGTTATCCACAGAAACTTCAGGAAGCCTTCCTCCTCCCCCCCTCCCCAAACCAGCAGACTTAATGGGATGATGAGAACAGCATCACAAATGATTCAAAGTGCTGAATTTCAGGCTGTTGCTAGGTGACCACGTATGCCCTCAGACCCACTCCTCTATTCCCTGACGTAGGATACTGCTTCCTGCTTTAGAATGAGCTGTGAGATGGAGCCCTGGGGACATGTCCCGAGAGTCGGGCTCTCCCAGGGACTGCAGGACAGGGCTGGGCACGGACTGACTCCAATGACAACCCAGACACCCTGTATTCCAATAAGAAGGTGTTGTGTTCACAACAGCACATGTAACCTGGGCATGGCCTGGCTTCCTGCTGCTGCTAATCTATGGGTTGTTTTAATGCTCCCTGTTTGACGCTCAGATTCCATTAACCTGTGTAACCAATTCCCTGCATGAAAAACCCGAGGTAAATACCTGGGGTGGTTTCTGCTCTCTCACGTTGACCCTGACTGACACAAGATCTAATAACTATGTCTGGTGATATTCGAAGCTATGGGAAGTGAGTCAATTCTGTGGCACGGGGATTATTAGTTCTGTGAAGGTAGAGAAACCAAGACCTGGTAAGACGACCTGCTCAAGAACCTTACCTGGCAGGGCTTAAACTGGTGAAGGTTCTGATGAGGTGACGTCACCTGCCTGGATTCCTGAGAATACTGATTCTTAGGTGATATGGCAACACCACTTCCGTTTCTCGGCTTGACAACTGCTCCATCGCCACACCTCCCAGAAGCGGACTCATTTGTCCACTTTGGAAATGAATGAGAAGCCCAAGTGTCATTCTGGTGGGCTTTTTAATCAGGTCTTCAGATATTATTTTTTGAAAATTTTCCCAGCAAGCCCTTCAAAAGTGGGTAAGAGCAGAATGGCCCGGTTTTCTTGATTACAACAAAACTGCGCAGTCAGTCCTTTTGATAACAATACTCCAAGCTCCCACCCATCGGCTGACACGCGTGGGTGCCTCACCGCGCACAAGCTCAGGACGTGTTATCTGTCTCACGGAGTAAGTCACTCCTCTCCCCTAGCGTGGTTCATTCCTCCTCCTGTAATCACTGCAGGGCCCTTTCATTTTCTTCTTTTCCTTACTCTTGGTCTGCAGGGTAAAACCTCACAGTCCCTGACAACGTTCAAGGGCAGAAAGGAGACGCGGTGGGAAAGCCTTCAA